AGTATAATGGCATGAAGATAGATATTTGAAACAGAAGATGTCAGATTGGGTCTAATTTTTGAATTGAATTAATTTAATTTTGAATTTTGAAAATTGCATAGAAAACTGCACGACTAACAGTATAAAATGTAAAACAGCTGATAATTAATGATTCGTAAACTACTATTCACATAATAAAACATTATTGCCTCTCGTCTAGACACAATTTTAAACATGAAAACCATAAATTCACATTGACCACAGTCAGTTATTGCCTCTCGTCTAGACACAATTTCAAACATGAAAACCATAAACTCACATCGACCACGGTCAGTCGTTTGCCGTCAGAGACAATGGGCGTGGTGCCATTGGTCCAGGTGAATGTCAGGTAGGAGCCTGAGGACGAGCACGTGAGGACCACGGTGCTGTTGTACTCAATGGCTTCAAACAGGTCAGACTTGATGACCACATTAGATACCGGCACTGCAGAGAAACAGCAAGTGTTTGTGAGGAAAACGTAAAGTAGAACAGAAAAAAATAGAAAAATAAAWAAATATGTGGTTCTTGCACAAACATAGAGACAGAAAGATGAGACAAAAATAGTTTATTAATCATGGATTGTTATCTAAAATAYGTGAATTGATGCTGGTAAATGTAAGTGTTACACTTGTTTGAGAGGATAGACTATGATAACATAATTCTTTTTAACTCTAGACGCTTTAAATGTATTATAAATCTTGCAATATGGGAAATGCAATTGTTACTGCAGAGATTTTAAGCAATTAGTAGCTTTGATAATGAAACTCTACTCCTTTAAAAGTCMCTTATACGCAAGAGGGTAGAGGATTTAATAACATGCACGCCCGAGGCTGACTCAGAATCATGTTGCTGCAGCAAAATCAACAAATGAACACAATAAATGAACGTATCTAAGTTAGTGCAACAACAAGACCTGCTTGACTTGTTACCAAAAACCCTAGAGTAGCAGCTCTGAAAAGTACAGTGTGTAAACCGACGGTTGGGCAACAGTGGGTGTGGGAGCAGTGTGAAGGAGTGGCAACCAGAGCTGAGTGTGACCTCGAAGAGTTCCACTGACAAAATACAMCAGATGATACTTTGAAAACAAGATATAACTTTTGTTGTGGTTTGAAAATTCAGAACTTTCTGAAAAACCATGATGGATTTGTCAGACGGCAGAAGCCCAATGGGTTTTTGACTTCACTTTGAACCGTGATGGCCACATTTCATGCTCACTACATCCACCCATTTTCTTTTCCCGCTTGATTCTGTTTAGGGTTGTTGGAAGCTGGAGCCCTTTTCCAGCAGTCCCTGGGAAAAGGGAGGGGTACTCCCTTGTTTTCCATCATAGATTGACAACCTTTCATACGCACAGTCACACATAGTAACAAGATATCTGAACATGAATCATGTTTTTGGACGGTGGGAGGAGGTATCGGAGCTAAGAGAAAACTTGAAAATGCACAGGAAGCAGAAAGGACTCCCAAGCTGCAGCTTTTGTTTCCCACATTCCTCAATTGGACCMACAGTAGGATACACAATGGTCACCCATTAAACAAACTAAATTTCAAACGAAATAGGGCTTCAGAGTCTTGCCCAACAGCACTTTGACATGCGGCAGGCAAAGACAGGATCAAACCAACAACATTCCAATTACCAAGCAAGTATTCTCACATACAGACCCCTCAACCTGTCAGATCTCCTCCACTCAGACATCCAGTCTCAGAAACTCAAGTCCTCAGCCATGGGTCTACTTTCTGTCTTGTATACAAACCTCTGAAATTTTGGGATGAGGGCCTTCAGGGTGGCACATCCTACCCTCCTATCTGAGCTGAGGAATGAGACATCACTGGACTATTTCAAGGCACTCCTCAAAACTCACCACTCTCCACTTTGTTCCTGAATATTTCTTCTTGGTAAATTGTCACTGTTTTTTTAAGTTATTATTATGTTTCCCTCCAAACAGAAATGGAAGATTTCAACTGCAATATTTGTATAATGGTTTTTGAAAGAGAGGTAAATGCAAGGATGGTTATTTTTATCAAGAACTGCAGAAATCGTTATAAATATCAGAATAGAAGAACCAACCCTTTCTCAAACAGCACGATTATTTGATATTCAAAATGTCTATAGTGGTGCACAGTACTGGCTTTGTTCCAATGGCCTATATACCTGTGTTAGAAACAATCTCAATGGTTATAGTATCAAACTTTATTTTGTATCCAGGTGAGAAATAAATCTCTCTTAAACAAACATCCATTCGGTTAGACCATGAACACAGACCCATTTCTGCTCTGGATTATCAAATGAAGACTAAAGAAGTGGGGTTCTAAATCTGAAACACTCCCACCTGAGACTAACACACACACACACACACACACACACACACACGTTTATTTCTCGACCCCGTGGGGACCTTCCATTGACTTCCATTCATGTTTTTTAGACTTTATATCCTAACCCTGACCATATACTCTAAAATTAACCTCACAGAAACTTACCTGACCCTAAACTAACCTCACAGGTACCTACCTGACCCTAAAC